GTTTCTCTTTTATGAAGTATTCCCTTTAATGAAAAACCTAATTCCTCTCTTGTTATAATTGTATTTTTTCCTATGACTTTGAATTACCTGATAGAGTAATAGAATATGTAACTTTTTTTTAACTTAAACAGCTTTGTTTATACTGGTGATCTAAACTGATGTAAACACCTTATCTCCTTAACAATTCATGAAGATGCTAGTATAGTCTGTGTTGAAATTTGCAAAGTAGTAGTTTTGTCATATGAGATCCTAAGACTTATTTTACTGGTTCTTTTCTAGAATTTTCAGATAGAAATTCTAAGAATTGTTTTGTTTTTTCTTTAGAAATTCTAAGAGAATTTAAGGCCGGGCGCGGTGGCTCACGCCTGTAATCCCAGCACTTTGGGAGGCCGAGGCGGGTGGATCACGAGGTCAAGAGATCGAGACCATCCTGGTCAACATGGTGAAACCCCGTCTCTACTAAAAATACAAAAAATCAGCTGGGCATGGTGGTACGTGCCTGTAGTCCCAGTTACTCGGGAGGCTGAGGCAGGAGAATTGCCTGAACCCAGGAGGTGGAGGTTGCGGTGAGCCGAGATCGCGCCATTGCACTCCAGCCTGGGTAACAAGAGCGAAACTCCGTCTCAAAAAAAAAAAAAAAAAAGAAAGAAAAGAAATTCTAAGAGAATTTATAGAATTTATTCATCATTTTTCACTTAATAAAGGCAACTTACCTGCATTTAAAAAATACTAAACATTGTATAATTCTTTTATTTCAGAATACTCAAGATGGCTTTATTAAGAGAAATTTTGTTATTAATAAAGTCTAAAGTTTTAAAAATGTAGAGAGTATATCTATGGTATTACTTATGCCAACAAATATTAAGAGAGATTGCAATGAATTTAAGAATTATTTTTGAACATATTCATAAGCAATGTAACTTGCTTGCATTTGTGATTTAGGACCTGGTGTTCAACTTTTGGAGCATATATATCACTGTTTCTTTGTTTTCAGATTTTGCTTTTCATTTGTGTATTATGATAATAGGCCTACATTTGGGGATTTTAACAGATATTTCTGCCAGTGTATAGGAATGTAAACATAATGTGAAGTTTAATAAATAGGGAGGAAAATGTATACTATTTTGGAAATGAGAAAATGCTGAAGTTGCCTTCCTCATGTTTTTTTTTGTGTGTGTTTGTATGCTGTTAGGGATCCATCACATTTGCTGTCCATGAATTTCTTATGCTGTTTGGAAATTCTAGAGTACAGGTTACAGTTTTTTATATAGTTTGTATGGTCCAAGGTGAATTTATGTGAAATGCATTTTTTTTTTTTTGAGAGGGGAAAAGATAAGCTTTCAAAAATTGTCATGCTCATAATTTGAAAATCTGTTTTTACTTCTTGATGTTATATTTTTCATACTGCCCATTAAGCATATTATAGATTTACGATCACTGATGTTTGTGTCTTAGGAATGTATGTGATAATAGGAATGTCAGTAACTGTTTAGGTTAGTAAATCCCAAAAGATCTCAATAGCTAATTCATTGTAAATAATTTTCTATAGTGAGGCCCTTGGCAGACTTCTAGGTATGCCTAAAGGCTCAGAGTTTAGTTAAAACAACAACAAAAGGAGGTGACCATTTTTGCTCTATTTTTTAGGGTTTTTAAATTTGTTGTTGAGGCAGAGTCTTGCTCTGTTGCCCAGGCTAGAATACAGTGGCACAAACACAGCTTATCGTAGCCTTGACCTCCTGGGCTCAGGTGATCATCCCGCCTCAAGCCTTCAGAGTAGCTGGGACTGCAAGGACGCACCACCACACCGCACTAATGTTTTACTGTTTTAGTTTTTGTTTTTTTGTAAAGATGAGGTCTACCTCTGTTGCCCAGCTGGTCTTGAACTCTTGGGCTCAAGCCATCCTCCTGCCTTGGCCTCCCAAAGTGCTAGAATTATAGGTGTGAGCTACCACACCATCGAAGGGCTACATTTTTAAAGAATTCATTCAGAATCACAACACAAATTTCTTCCACTGCAGATATGGAAAAGGTTCCAAGGGAAATGCCCAAGTTCTTCCTTCAAGTTTGTGTTGGGAAAGAAATAATAAAAGGAGTTGTTATTTCCCAGAAATTATCCCCTAGGGGAAAAAAGAAAAACTTATAATTTATCTGTGGAATCAAAAACTCAACTCAGGTTTTTAAAAAATATCTTTAAAAATTAAATCTTATTACACAACTATAGATGATATTTTACCTTCTGTGTGACAACACTTTAAGATTTGCATATGTGTTTGTGTCTTTACTCTGACCAGTTTTAATGAGTGATTATGTTGGAGTCAACACAACTTTTGTTTCAAATTAGATTATAAAATTGTTGGTTATTTTCTCAAGAAGGACAAGAAGCTAGCAAGAAAACTGGAATAGGGTGAGATTCTGACATTTTGTGTATGGGTTTTAAAAATACACTTGATCTTCAGTACACAGCATAGTAAGTCATACACTAAAGACAAATTGTTGCCATTATCTTAGCATGTTCCACGCTTCTATATTTTTTACATACAGATTATTCTTAAATAATCCTTAATTTTGCCGGGCGCGGTGGCTCAAGCCTGTAATCCCAGCACTTTGGGAGGCCGAGGCGGGTGGATCACGAGGTCAAGAGATCGAGACCATCCTGGTCAACATGGTGAAACCCCGTCTCTAC